CAACCCTGCCGAGTGCCCTGTGGAAAGTGAAAGGAGGAGAGAGGCTATTGTTAGTATGGGGCACTGTACAGGCACCTGACCCATGAAATGAAATTGGGGCCAAATCTGAAGCATCTCAGAGCCTTCCACAGATATTCCCACTCGACCAAATCGAAGGCCTTTTCAGCGTCCAGGGACAGCACCACACCAGAGTTGTCGCTGTCCCGAGCCATAGAGATATCGGTGAATAGTCTCTGTATATTGATGTCAGTGCCTTTACCTGGCATAAAGCCGTTTGATCATTGTGTACTAACGTAGAGATAACCGAGTACAACCTCCCAGCAAGCACTTTAGAGAGTATTTTCGCATCAGTGTTCAACAAGGAAATTGGACGGTAAAAGGAACAGTGTGACGGATCCTTCCAAGGCTTTAAACTCACCACAACCACCACTTGGAGCATAGACGAGGGCAAGGTTCCCGTCACAAGTAAAGCATTAAAAAGGGTTTGGAAGCGGGGGGGGGGGGGCAGTTGTTCAATATATGTATTAAAAAATTCTATTGGAATGCTATTGTGCCAGATTGGAGAGTGTCACAGGTCCTGTGGTGTACAGGTAGCTTTAGGTAGCTTAGTAGAAAACGGGTTAATTAAGACTGGATCAAGGATCCTGGAACCATCCTCAGCCTGTATAAAGGCAACATAGTCATGGCAGCTTTATCTCCCTGTTCGAAACTAGATCAGGGTTAGGGATTCAGATTACCCGCCGGTCCATTTCTACTTCCGACCTTTGCCTGACCTGGCCCCTCATCAAGGATACTGTCCCCTAAGGGTAAAGTCTCCCATGTAATAGAAGGCACAGCGGTATCTGCATTATAGGCCCAGTACTGTTCCAATGCCTTCCCCAAGGGGGGGTTCAACCTTGGGTCAGTAATCCAATTGGCATAGTCTTTTTTTCCCCAGGGGCATTTGAAATACTCAAGCGGAGGAGAAGTGGGGCGTGGTCAGATGTTCCCCTAGGAAGGATTGAAATCTCTTGGACCCTCGCTCAGAGTGGAGGTGTAACATAGAAAAGATCAATTGTAGACATTGTCCTATGTGGTGCCGAGTGGCAGGTAAAGGCCCTAGTCTCAGGATTTTTCCAGCACCACACGTGCGTGAACTGGTAAAGCCCCACCCACCTGGTCAGATCTGACTCACCACTGGCTTCAGGATAAAGTTTGTCAACACTAAGGTCAGGAGTGAGGTTAAAATCGCCAGCAAGGAGAATATGGGATGTGGGATATGAGGCCAAGAGCGGGGCCAAAGCAGCCAATGAGCACACAGAAGCAGGAGGCGGAAGATAAAGGCCAACAATTACCATTTCAAAACAGTTAATCGTCGCATGTATAAAAACGTGCTTGCCTTCGAGATCCACCCTGAGATGGAGGAGAGTGAAAGGCAGTGATTATGAATAAGGACGCTAACTCCTCGGGCATATGAAGAATACGTTGCCTAGTACTCTATAGTCCAGCAGATGGGTCTCTTGCAAAATACAAATGTGTGGGTTATAGGATTTGAGAAATTAGAAGACCAAGGAACGCTTCACAGGGAAGTTGAAGCCCTGCACATTCCAGGAGATATAGTTCAGATCAGGGGGAGCCATGATATAGGTGTTCTAAAACCGATTTACTACCACTCATGCCGATTTCTGATAAGAAAATGTAAGATATGCAGCAGAAAAACCTGTATATCAGCTTGATACCATACAAAAACAGGAACACTTAAGATAGCATATGTACCTTGCAACATAGAAAAAAAAACTACAAACTCCCAAGAACCATAAACGAACCCCCCGCCCCCAAAACCGGGAGAGTCATACTTCCCTGAACAAAATCGGGCAAAAAGCCATAGGGATGTCCATGGAGCGAGTATATAGAGCAAGTCTGTAGAGCTCACATGCCATAGAGATGCTGCCTCATATCAAAAGTGGCAGGTCACTCGGCTATAGCAGAGGATACTAGCCTAAATTATAACTGAGAAACAGAGAATATGGGAGTCCCTATTCAGAGGAGGGACTGGGAACAAAGGCAACAGTTGGAATCGACTGGAGCAATCTTCCAGTGGGGAATCAAGATCAGCGGGTAGGGTTTCCAGCCATGAAGTTACCTCCTCAGGCACAGTAAAGAAACGTGGTTTCTCCATCTTCAAATCTGTGCTTAGCAGGGAACAGCATGACTAGGGTAAGGTCTTCTTCTCGCAGTTGGGCCTTGACTGCATCAAAGGAGTGATGCTGCCATTGGGTTTCTACCAAGTAATCGGGAAACAATGTCCGCTTATGATTTTCGTAGCGCAGTTCCCCATGGGCCCTGGCTGCTCTCAATGCCAGATCCCGGTCACGGTAATTGAGCAGCTTAAAAATGAAGGTGCAGGGCGGTGAGCCAGGTGGGCCCCGGGCTGCTGGCATCCGGTGGGCCCTCTTGACCACAAAAAAGCTAGAGAAGGTGGCTCGAGGCAACAAGAAGCGGAGAAGGTTCTCAGTATATCGAGGCGGATCCTCACCCTCTGCCCCTTCAGAAGACCAACCACGTGGAGGTTATTGCACCTACTGCGGTTTCCGCATCCTCTGCTCTGGTCTCAATGTATTTGACTTTGACCCGCATTGTATGCATCTCAGCCAAGTCGCTGCAGATGGTGTCTTCTGCGTCACTGACCCTTTCCTCGACCGCTGTCACTCCGGAATGCATCAAGATCTCTCCGGAACAGCCCTATGTCAGTCTAAAGATGTTCCATGGTGAGTACCGTTCGACAATTGGTAATAGCCGTCATGAGAGAATTTAAGTCCACGGGTGCGGCAGGTGGGTTGAGCTCTTGTGAGGTGGGTGCGACCATAGTTGTTACCCCTTTTAGCCCCTGTGGACCGATTGGTTTTAGCAGTTTGTGTAGTTTCGGATCTTCTGCCAGCGGCCAAAGGCTTGTCTCTAGTCATCCCCAGGCCTCATGCGCACCGACAGAAGGTTGTGCTTACTATAATAATTGGCTCTCCATACGGGAATTCGGCCCACATGGCCTTCACAGGTGACTGAATAAGTGTAAATTAAACTGTGCATATGTAGGAGACAAACGACTCTTCCTGTGGTACTCACAAGTGGCTGTCACCCCAGGTGTGGGCCTTGGACACAACTGATGATCTTCACGAAGGCCGGAGGCCCAGGCCCTCATAGGAGATGGATAGCACCGAGGCTCCAATGCAGAGCCAAGCAGTTCCCCCCTGTTGATCCACTCGAATGGCTGCTGTGGGGGCTGAGGGTGTGCAGGCTCCAGTAGGAGCTTAGCCCCGGTTGAGAAGCAGGTAGGGTGTAGTAGCCGACAGTATTCAGGCTGCAGTAGATTGCAGGTAACCAGAGTTTCGGGGGGAGTGTAAATAGCTCGGATTCTCCCCCCCCCTCAGGCAGCAGCAATCTCCGGGAGGTCCCCTGGTGTGGTGGGAGCTGTGCCACCCCGGGATGGGCACTCGGTGTTCACTGGTACGTAGGCTTCAGCAGACCGTGGGCTTCCGGAGCTTAGAAGGGGGTCAAGCGACTGCTAAGATCTTGCCCCAGGCAGTGGGCTTACCGTGCAGTGTCTCAGGAGTCAGGGCTGCGGCACCCTGGGTGGGTCTAGTCCTGGTCCACACAGGTTGCCGTAGGCTTCTATAGGCTGCGGATTTCGGGTACTTCGGAGGGGGGTCAGACTGACACTGCTCCCCCTCCAGGCAGGCAGCGGGCACAGTCAGCAGGGCCCCCGATACAGGTAATGAGAGTGCTGCCCCCAGGATGGCAACAGATGAGGTTTTGAAGCGGCAGAGTTCTCAACTATGCAGCTGCTCCGATCGCCATCTTGGACCCCCCCCCCCCGCCCTTGTGCTCACATTTACATGTGGACATAGACTCTATTGGCGGCTGCTGCTCAGGGCCAGCATTGCATAGCCAGCAGCGTTGGTGATTACATGTTATTACATGTTATTACTGTTTACATCTCCCACTAAAGGAGTCATTTATGCTGTGGAGGAGATGCAAGCAAAGAAGGACCTTGGCCTTCAGTCTTTCAAAATCTGTGCACGCGCTGCTGCCGCATGAATGATTTATTAGGTTGGATATGTAAATATCAGTTGTTGATATTTACATGTGGGTCTTGAATAGTGGCTAATCGGTCCATTTACATTGCACGCATATAAGCATTTGCACAAATGTTAAATGCATACGGATAACTTTTTACATAGGATCTTTCCAATAGGACACAGCAGAAAGAAAACTTGACAAGGATTTGAACCTTTCCCTAATATATTAAGAAAAGGTTTGAGCTTTACATAATAGTTTAACATTTCCATTCATCTTTTCATACCGACTGTTCTGACATGTAGCTCATACTGAAGGTAACTATTGGTTATGTATTTTTTGCTTTATGCTTGGTTTCTAGCTTGCTATGTTTGTGACTTGTGTGATTTACCTGTTTATTATTGCTAGAGCATCAATTTTACAGATGGCTTGCACCCACCTACAAAATGTATAAATAATGCTTGCCTTTCTTCTTTCTCTTCCTTTCTTATTTTCATTCATACCTTTTCTATTTTATCCCCTGTTGCGACCATCTTTGGGTGTTTTTTGGCAAATGCTACAAGTACATGCATGTCCTCTTTAAACTAAGCATAAGACAAAAGGTTTGGAGGCAAACATTCCATTGAATGAATGGCTGAGTTATGTTCTGGAATTGACTACAAAGAAAAAGGATATAATGCAATAAGTGCTGCATTAGATCCCATATTTCCTTTTCAAAGTATAGAAAGACATATGTTCCTAATAGTAATGTATAATGCCAAACTCTGATTCTAAAAAGTATAAAACTAACCACTGGAGCCAATTAGCGTAAAACATCCGTGTCTATATACACTATCATCAGGTATCCATATGTATGTGTATCGAAGTGGTTTGTCTTTGATGTCTGGATTGTATGAGTAATTTATTGTACTTGCTTAATTTTTAGACTGACTGAATTTTCCTAAGGAAAGATGAAGTACCTTGGCATCTGTCTGCTTCTTGCTGATCTCCTCTGCCAATGGCTTGTCCAAGCAGAGTTTTTCACATCTATTGGTAAGTCTTTATTTATGTACCACAGTAAGTGGTAGTCACCAGGAACACGTGATGAGCAACTCCTAACGTTCTTATTTGTTTTTTCTCCAGGTGGTATTTAACACTTTTAATGAGCCAGTTTCCATTGATATTTTATTTATAGATGGAGCCTAGTAGATTGCATTATTCTCTGGCACTTTGCATGTCCTGGATACTCCAACAATGAGATCTCTCTGCTATAATGCTCAGCTTTGTTCCATTTTTACCTGGTCCCTTCAGTTCGCCTATGACCTGTTGTATTCTACATCAATGGTTATCAAACCTATTGAAAATGGGAAACGGTAACTTCTTTAGAAATCTTCCATGCCCCAACAGTAAAGAAAAAAAATGGTTTCAAATGAACAATTCAAATAGAGAAGGGAACTCGCTTATAGTGGACACAGAGGAGGTGAAGACCCAGGATTTAAAACACAAAGATCACACCAATAGAGTTCTTACTTCTCCAGCATCTGACAAAACCAGAAGTATTTATTTTGGGTGGACTAGCCCTTTAAAGTATCTAGTAGTTCATGTGTGCATGGAGTTTTTTTTTTTCGATATTCTGCTTACATAGGTTTCTCTCTCAGGTGTTTTTTGTTTCTTGCCTCAATTTAAAGACCACACTGGGAATTTAATGATTGCGTTTTGACCAAGTAAGCCCTACTGTATGACTATGGTAGACCCTTCACATAAGCTTTTCAGCTTGTAAAAGCACAGGGTGTACAGCAGACTTTGAGAAAGACTTTACAAAGCTTTCCACAAGCTTGTTGAAAAGGGTTATGGCATATGGAAGGTGAACCTTTTCTTTTTCGGACCATTCTGTGTAAACCCTAGAGACGGTTGTGCGTGAAAATCCCAGTAGATCAGCAGTTTTTGAAATACTTACACTAGTCCATCTGGCACCATGCCACGTTCAAAGTTACTTAAATCCCCTTTCTTCCGTTATTCTGATGCTTGGTCTGAACTTCAAGTCATCTTCACCAAGTCTAGCTGCCTAAATGCAGTTGCTGCAGTGTGACTGATTAGCAATTGCTGTTACTGAACAAGTGTACCTAATAAAGTGGCTGGTGAGTGTATATAGTAAAGGGAGTACTGACCCCACTTTAACCACTTACCCTCCTGAGTATTTACCCCCCTTCCTGACCAGGCCATTTTTTGTGTTACTGCGCTGCGTCACTTTAACTGATGATTGCACGGTCATGCAATGTTGCACCCAAATTAAATTTATGTCCTTTTTTTTCCCCAGAAATTGAGCTTTCTTTCAGTGGTATTTGATCGTGTGGTTTTTATTTTTTGCACTAAAAGAAAAAATTAAAAAAAGAGACAGTTTTGAGAAAATAAACAATATTTTTGACTTTTTGCTAGTAAACAGGTCCAGTAAAAAAATAAATCAAATTTCGTCATAAATTTAGGCCGAAATGTATTCTGCTACATGTCTTTGCTAAAAAAAAAAATCCCAATATGTGTAAATTAATTGGTTTACGTGACATTTATAGCATTTACAAATGGCAGTATATATACTGGGATTTTCTATTTTGATTAGTAATGGTGGCGATCAGCGACTTATAGCGGGACTGTGGAGGGCATTCTGACACTGGGGGGGAACTGACTTGGTGTCACTGACAACCCCAGTGACTCCAATACAGTGATCAGTGCTAATAAAAAGCACTGACACTGTACTAATGGCACTGGGCAGGAAGGGGTTAACATGAGGGGCGATCAAAGGGTTAACTGTGTGCTGTTTTACTTGTGTCTGTGTCCGTGTGCATCACTGTAAGCACACCACTTTCGATGGCTGTGCTGTGCACAGCCATCCAAAGCAGTGCGCACGAGCTGACTGTATATATTATTTATATTATTATTATTATTATTATTATTATACAGGGTTTATATAGCGCCAGCAGTTTTATGCAGCGCTTTACAATATAAGGGAGACAGTACAATTACAATACTTTCAGTACAGAAGGAATGTGAGGGCCCTGCTCGTGGAGTTTACAATCTGTGTAGAGAACTGTTTTGTTTACAAACAGTTCTCCTCCCCGACGGAGATGCTCAGCTCAGCTAGTATATGAACGGCATTTTGCGCAAAACCGTGCCGCCCTGTAGCAGTATTTATGCTAGAGGGCGGTCGGGAAGCAGTTAAAAAAGCTGTTAGTAAGTTTCAGTATGCTTCAGCAGCACTTGAAGCTTGCTAGCAGTTTGTTTATAGTGACAGGCAATACTTCTTTCAACTGCTTCCTGCCTGACCTAATGACAAATGACAGCCAGGTGTGACATTCGCCGCTCTGGGTGGACATCATATGGCATCCTCCTCAGAATGTGCCTCGCACACTGTTCCCACGGGCCACGCTGCGGCGTGATGTGTGCTTACCCGCTGTGTCCACTGAACACAGCTGATGACACATCACTGTACCGGGCCGCTGCCAGTACCATGAGATTGCTGTGACCAATCACAACAAATAACACATGACAATTGTACACAATTGATGGCTTTCATTCATGCCATGCATTGTGCACTGGTGTTGCTTGCTGTGATTGGTCACAGTGATCACATGATAAAAAGAGGACCAATCACAGCCCATCTGTACCATGTGATTAGCTGTGGCCAGTCTCTGCTAATCACAACTACACACACTGAATGAATCAATTTAATTCAGTAAAAAATGGTTGTTTATAACAGTAATATTCACTGTTACAAGTGATCATAATGTGAAAAAGAAAATATCCTAATCCCCTCCCTTGAATAGTATACACCCTGTTCCAAATTATTATGCAAATTATATTTTTCTCATTTACCTAAATAATTGATGTAAATAACAGTCAGCATAATTCTCATGTTATCAACTATTAAGAGTACAATTCACATTTTATTGAACAAACCTCCTAATGATAACACATTTTTTTAAAACATAAAAAACTTACAATGCACTATTCCAAATTATTATGCACAGTAAGTTTCAAAAAACTTTTATAGGTTGTAAAGAACTGAAAATTGTCATTTGTTGTGTTTGCAGCATATTTACTGAAATCAAAAGCTATTTCAATCAAACTTTTAACAACATTTTAACTTTTTAAAACATTTTAACAGGTCACGTTACATTTTAACATAGGACCCCTTATTTGATAGCAGCTTCACAAGTCTTGCATCCATTGAACTTGTGAGTTTTTGGAAAGTTTTTGCTTGAATTTGTTTGCAAGATATCAGAATAGCCTCCCAGAGCTGCTGTTTGGATGTATACTGCTTCCCACCCTCATAGATCTTTGCTTGAGGATGCTCCAAAGGTTCTCAATAGGATTGAGGTCAGGGGAGGATGGAGGCCACACCATGGCTTTCTCTCCTTTTATCCCCATAGCAGCCATTGATGCAGAGCTGTATTCTTTGCAGCATGAGGTGGTGCATTGTCATGCCTGAAGATGATTTTATTATGGAAAGCATAGTTCTTCCTTCTGTACAAGGGAAGAAAGTGGTCATCATAAACTCCACATACTTTGCAGAGGTCATGTTTACACCTTCGGGACCCCTAAAGGGGCCGACCAGCTCTGTTCCCATCATTCCGGCCCAAAACATGACTCCACCACCGCCTTGCTGACTTCGCAACCTTGTTGGAACAGGGTGGCTGCTGTCCAACCATCCACTACTCCATCCATCTGGACCATCCAGGGTTGCACGGCACTCATCAGTGAACAGAACTGTTTGAAAATTAGTCTTCATGTATTTTTCTGCCCAATGCAGCCGTTTCTGCTTGTGAGCATTGGTTAGTGGTGGCCGATCACAAGGTTTATGCACAGTTGCAAGACTCTGGAGGACTCTACACCTTGACGTCCGTGGGGACTCCAGAGGCACCAGCAGCTTCAAAAAACTGTTTGCTGCTATGTAATGGTATTTTAGCAGCTGCTCTCTTGATCCGATGCATGGATCTGGCAGAAATCTTCCTCAATGTGCCTTTATCTGCATGAACCCATCTGTGCTCTGAATCAGCCACAAATCTCTTAATAGTGCGATGATGACGCTTACGTTTTCGTGAAATAATCTAATGTTTTCATACCACTCGTCCAAGGCATTGAACTATTTCACTCTTTTCGGCAGCAGAGAGATCCTTTTTCTTCCCCATATTGCTTGAAAATGGTGCTCTGCTTAATAATGTGGAACACCCTCCTTTAGTAGTTTTTCCTTAAATTTGGGCTCACCTGCCAATCTAATTATCACAGGTGTCCGAGATTGTTTTCAGTGATCAAAAGCCCCTGACACACAATGCCATCCATGAGTTTAAACTGAAAAACAAAATATTTCATCTTTGTGACACTAAGGCTGGCCATACATTATACAATTATCATCCAATTTTCAGCCCAATTTTCCTTTAGATTTACCTTCAACTGTGTAAAGGGCTGCCTAAAAACAAAAGTATGTTTAGGTTTGTCCTCCTATTATATGACATCTAAACCAATAATCTCCAGATAATCCTTTAATGTAATGGCCAGCCTTAAATAATTTTGCAATTTCCTTTAGACAGGGTATAATGTGACTATGATAACACTCTATTTGGTTACAGTATGTTAAAAAAAAAAGTGAAAAAGGGATTACTTGTACTGTCCTGGTATTTTTGGGCCTCAAGAAATGAGTCAGTACAACAAAAATGATCAATTTTCAGATATATTCAGTATAGTTTGTGAACTCTATAACTTTCCTGCAGACTAAATAATATACACTGATTTGGGTTATTTTTACCAAAGACATGTAGAAAGTATGCATTTTGACCTATATTTATGAAGATTATTTGTATAATTTTATAACAGAAACAAAACAAAATGTGTGTTTTTTTTTTTTTTTTTATTTAGCAAAAAAAATTAAAAAAGCCAGTGACGATTAAATACCACAAAAAGCTCTATTTGTGTGAACAAAATGATAAAAAATTTAATTTGGGTACAATGTTGCATGACCACACAATTGTCATTCAAAGTTAGTGCTGAAAGCTTGAAAATTA